AGACAAAGGACACTATATAATGATTCAGGGGATGATCCATCATGAAGACATAACCATAATAAACATCTATGCACCCAATGACAGGGCTCCCAAATACATAAAACAAACTAAAAGCACTGAAAAGATAAACGGACAGTCCCACAATAATAGTAGGGGACTTCAACACACCACTCTCAGTAAAGGACCGAACATCTAGAAAGAAACTCAGCAAAGACACAGAAGACCTAAAGGACACAATTAGCCAACTTGACCTCATAGATATATATAGAACATCAACAGTTGCAAAGTACACATTCTTTTCCAATGCACATGGAATGTTTTCCAGAATAGACCACATCTTAGGCCACAGAGCAACCCTCAACAAGATCCAAAATGTTGAGATAATAGAAAGTATCTTCTCTGACCACAGTGCCATCAAGGTAGAAATTAACAACAGGAAGAGCAAGGAAAAAATCAATTACATGGAAACTGAAAAACAACTTGCTTACATACCACTGGGTAACAGAAGACATCAGAGATTGAATCAAAAAATTGCTAGAATCAAATGAGAACAAAAACACATCATACCAAAACATGTGGGAAACAGCAAAGACAGTACTCAGAGGACAATTTATAGCAGTAGATGCGCGCGCGCGCACACACACACACATCAAAGAAGGGACAAAATCAGAACATTAACTACACAACTCGAACAAATTGAGAACAGTAAAAAAAAAAAGAAAAGAAAAGCTGCAGCTTCCAGAAGAAAGGAAATAATAAAGATCAGAGCAGAAATAAAGGAAATAGAGAGCAGAAAAACAAAGGAAAGAATCGACAAAACCAAAAGTTGGTTCTTTGAAAGGATCAACAAAATCGACAATGCACTGGCCAGACTGACAAAAGAAGAACAGGAGAGGATGCAAATAACCCAAATAAGAAATGAAATGGGGGACATTACAGCTGACCCATCTGGAATAAAAAGGATAATAGAGTATTATGAAAAACTATACTCCAACAAATTTGAAAACCTAGAGGAAATGGATAAATTTCTAGAAACACATTACCTACTGAGACTAACACAAAGTGATGTTGAAAATCTGAACAGACCTATAACAAGAGAAGACATTGAAAAGGTAATAAAAAAAATTCCAACGAAACTGGCCCAGATGGTTTCACTGGAGAGTTCCCTACCAAACATTCAGAGAAGAGCTTATTGTAGTACTACTCAAACTATTTCAGCACATAGAAAAAGAAGTGGCACTGCTGAATTCAATCTATGAAGCCAGCATAACCCTGATACCAAATCCAGGGAAAGATGCCACAAAAAAAGAAAATTACAGAGCAATATCTCTCATGAAGATAGATGCAAAAATTCTCAACAAAATTCTAGCCAATAGAATTTAGCATCATATCAAAAAAATAGTACACCACGACCAAGTAGGATTCATACCAGGTATAGAAGGATGGTTCAACATTAGAAAATCCATCAACGTAATCCACCACATAAGTAAAATGAAAGAAAAGAATCACACGATCATCTCAGTTGATACAGAAGGCATTTGACAAAGTCCAACACCCATTCCTGATTAAAACCGCTCAATAAAATAGGTACACAAGGGAAATTTCTCAACATAATGGAGGACATTTATGCAAAACCAACTGCCAACATCATTCTTAATGGAGAAAGGCTGAAAACTTTCCCCTTGAGAGCAAGAACAAGACAAGGATGCCCTTTATAACCACTCCTGTTACACATTGTCTGGAAGTCATAGCTCGAGCAATAAGGCAAGAAAAAGAAATAAAGTGCATACAAATTGGTAATGAAGAAGTTAAACTGTCTCTGTTTGTGGATGATATGATACTATAAGTAGAAAATCTAAAGACTCCATGAGAAAACTACTGGAACTAATAGAAAGATTCGGCAGAGTAGCAGGATACAAGGTAAACATACAAAAATCGGTTGGATTTTTACATACCAATAAAGAGAACAATGAAAAGGAAATCAGGAAAACAATACCATTTATAATAGCCCCTAAAACAGTAAAATACTTAGTACTAAATCTAACCAGGGATGTAAAAGACCTGTACAAAAAAACCTACAAAACGCTACTGCAAGAAACCTGAAAGGATCTACATAAATGGAAAAATACTAAATAGACGGTAGATAAGTGGTAACTTTGGTGAAGGGTAAGACAGTACACAATACTAGGGAAGCCAGCACAACCGGTACAAGGGAAGATCATGGAAGCTCTATAGACACGTCCAAACTCCCCGAGGGACCTAATTGCTGGGCTGAGGGCTGTGGGGACCATAGTCTTGGGGAACATCTAGCTCAATTGGCATAACATAGTTTATAAAGAAAATGTTCTACATTCTACCTTGGTGAGTAGCGTCTGGGGTCTTAAAAGCCTGTGAGCAGCCATCTAAGATACTCTACTAGTCTCACCCCTTTGGGAGCAAGGGAGAATGAAGAAAACAAGATACAAGGGAAAGATCAGTCCAAAGGAAGAATGGACTACAAGTACCACAGCCTCCACCAGATTGAGTCCAGTACAACTAGTTGTTGCCTGGCTACCACCACTGACTGGTCTGACAGGGATCACAACAGAGAGTTAAGACAGAGCTGGTAAAAAATGTAGAACAAAATTCTAACTCCCAAAAAAAGACCAGACTTCTGGCCTGACAGAGACTGGAGAAACCCCAGGAGTGTGGCACACGGACACCCTTTTAGCTCAGTAATGAAGTCACTCCCGAGGTTCACCCTTCAGCCAAAGATTAGACAGGCCCATAAAATGAGACTAATGGGGCACAACAGTTCAGGGGCGAGAACTATAAGGCCGGAGGGGACAGGAAAGCTGGTAAGAAGGAACCCGAGGTTGAGAAGGGATAGCGGTGCCATGTCATGGTGTTGTTAACCATTGTCATAAAACAATTTGTATAGTAACTGTTTAATGAGAAACTATTTGTTCTATAAACCTTCAGCTAAAGTACAATAAAAAAAATTCATTTCAATCTGAAAATAGTTCTCAAACATCTGCTTTTAACATACCTTCCTATTTCAGCTTCTCTAAAGAAGTCGTTGCCGTTTAAAATATTTTAAATATTCAAATAATTATTTGTAGCTGTAGAACACATAATGTTCAGTTATAAGCAAATCTCTACAGATTTTTTTTTTATTAAAGATTAATCTATAAAGAGAATTTGTAAATTTCCGTCTTGACATTCAGGGTAACCTGTTTTCTGTATTACTTGTGAAACTAGTAAATCACGTGATTATTGAACCTGGACATTTCTTTAAAGGGAATAGTTTTTTTAAGTTTGTGAATGCCATTCCCTTACGCATCTTGCTGTAGTTTTCAGTTATTATTGTCCATGTGGCACGAAATAATTGCCAGTTGTTGTCATTATGGGGTTGCTGTGAGTCGGAATCGACTTGACGACGTTAAGTTTTGTTTTTTTGGGTTTGGTGTCATTATAAATTCACATCAAAGGATGTGACATGAATCATGTAGATTGGAAACTACATGTAGTAGGAAACTTACCAACCCTACTTCTAACCTTGCTGTCCATCAACATTGCCAATTCACAGTATTCGCAGTAATTTTGGCTATAGACTAGTGACAGTGATGATGAGATGTAAGTAGAATACCTCTTTCAGGCAGTCCAACCCTTTCACTTCATTTCTTTCTTACAGCTCCTGGGCTCTTTTGATTTCATCTTCCACTTGCTACCATCAGGTTTTTACTCTTTTTAGTTTGGAAAGGCCAGTTAAATTGTATTCTCTAACCCTTAGACTTGCCTCTGCATAATTCCGTTCAATCTTTTATAAGCTTCTCTCTACCCTCCCAGCCCTATAAACTTACATATATACATATACCATCCACAGATTGATCTTTTGTTGGTATTAGAGGGACTGAATTAGAGTGTTAGGCTATGGTAAGTAAGTTGCCATATTTTATCTATGTTTGTCTTTTGAATATTTGCCTTAAAATGAACTTTAAATTCTGAGCTATAAAAAGGTTTATGACTTGCTCGGGGAACATCTAGCTCAATTGGCGTAACACAGTTTATAAAGACAATGTTCTACATTCTACCTTGGTGAGTAGTGTCTGGGGTCTTAAAAGCCTGTGAGCGGCCATCTAAGATACTCCACTGGT